TTTTCGGTGGCTTGTCTATTTTACACTATCGCTCATTTCATTTTAATCTGATTTCATTTTAATCTGCCACAATAATTGATTACATAACCCTTAAATTTGGCGCTTTTGCGTTTTAGTACAAGTCTTTTATTATTTAATAAATTCCAAATTAGATTATTATTCCTAATTTATATCAATACAAAGTCACATTTGCAGCCCATATGATAACACGTGCCGATTGATAATCGACAAATTTTTTTTGAATTTTTAATAATCGACAAATTTTCTGATCGACGCAGAACATATTTACTTGACTACACGTTCGATGGCTAAAAAACAATGTATTTATCATACTATATTTATTATTATGAAATTTTACAAGTGATTGAAAAATACTTTTGCTCTCCGTTTCGTTTGTATTTTAGATCACGCTCGGCAGATTCGGGTTTAATTTGAATCCAAAAAAATAATTCTCTAATATACCTCAGCTGTGCACTCTGTTTATCTATTTCCTTTTAGGAGTTTGTATTACTCGCGAGAATAAATGCTCAACCGTTATTCCAAATTGTTTTTCATTCGCATTCTAATGCACACAAAATGATGGCCCAAAGTAAAAGTGCTGCGTACGATTATTTACTAAAGCTTTTACTGATTGGAGATAATGGTTGGCATATAAAGATATTTATGCAATTGCATATAACCGAAGCAGTATAATCTAAATTACTGTACCAATTTTTTTTTGTTTTCGTCTTTTTTTTCGTTGTTTTTTACAGATGTTGGAAAGTCAGACTTGTTGCACCGTTTTTCGGATGACTCTTTTACTCCTCCTTTTATCACTACTATAGGAATTGACTTTAAAGTTAGAACCATTGAGGTGGATGGTAAACGAATCAAACTCCAAATTTGGGATACTGCAGGCCAAGAGCGTTTTCGTACCATTACCACAAGTAAGCTTTAATATTATTCTGTGTATTTATATTTTTGTATTCAGTATTATTTACATATTTGTAACTCCATCATGAAGCTTACTACCGTGGTGCTATGGGTATAGCTTTTGTATATGATATTACCAATGAACGGTCTTTTAATAGTATCCTTAATACTTTTAAAGATTTTTACATAATTAAATGAAACTTTATATATTTTTGTGAAATAATGATAATAAATATTATTATTAACGATAATTTTCATGGTCAATTAGATATAAGAAATTGGTTTAGTAATGCAGAACAATATGCCCCTGAAGGAGTTAATAAAATTCTCATTGGAAACAATTGTCATTTATTTGAAAAAAGGGTAAATGTCATGAAAAGTAAACAATTTTTAAAAAATTAAAAAAACAAATTTCATTATTATCTGTCTCACAGGTGATCACTAAGGAACAAGGTCAAGAACTTGCGAATGAATTTGGAATCAAAATTTTCGAAACCAGTGCTAAAGAAAACATAAATGTTGAGGAGGCATTCTTTACATTAGTCAGGTTTGATTAAATTATTATATATTGACCGAGTGTTATTAATTAATTATTGGAGAATTTACAAATAAGGGCCCAGGATCAAGTATAGGCGACCCCTCCGGCAAAATTTTCCGTAACACATATTTCAGCCACAGATTACACATAATCACGCGAATAAATCTGGATTTAAATTAAACCTCAGCTGAGGTTTAATTTAAACCCTGATTTATTCGCGTGATTATGTATTGTGTAATCTGTGGCTGAAATATGTGAAAAATTTTGTCATAGGGGCCTAAACTCAATCCTTATAATCAAGGACTTATAAATAGAAACGATTCAGCAGAATAGCTGTTTAGAGTTGAACGAACACGTTTCACATTATAGTATTGTGGTCAACATAAACGAATCATCTAATTTTTATAAAATATAGTTAAATTGAAGAATACAATAATTTTGGGAGTATAGGTCAATTGGGTTGAAAGGATAAATACTATCTATGTACACACATTTTTTGCCTTGTACTTTCAACCCATATTCTAATTATACAATCGTCTTCTATGCAATTTTTTTTGAAGACTCTGATTGCAATATTTTGAACTTTAGTTCCTTATCCGTAATTATTTTTATTAGACCATATAAATAACTACCTTTGTCTTAGGCCTCATATGATTATTATTTTTTTTTTTTTGAGCTCTCGTTTGTAAATTCCCTAAAACTTTGGTTTAATTACTAATCAACATATTCCTATTTACTTAATCAAAGAGAAATCAAATTTCAGATTATTGATCATGACGTTAAAGATTATGACGTTAAAGATCATGACGTTAAGGATCATGACACTATGTATGTTGATTACAAAAAATCCGCAGAAATGGGTCATTCTGATGGAATATATAATCTTGGGCGTTGTTACGAAAGAGGATTTGGAGTTGAAAAGAATGATCGTAATGCGTATCTTTATTACAAAAAATCTGCAGTGATGGGACACTCTGATGGAATATATAGCCTTGGTCGTTGTTACGAAGAAGGAATTGGAGTTGAAAAGGATGAACATAATGCGTATATTTATTACAAAAAATCCGCAGAGATGGGACACATGGAGGCATTTGCTAAAATGACAACTCTTAATGGAACGTTTTATACGGGTGTTTTTTATGAAAGAGGAATTAACGTCAAGGAAGATAAATATAAGGCGTATGTTAATTACAGTAAATCCGCTAATATGGGACACACGGAGGCATTTGCTAAAATGGAAACTTCTGATGGAGTATTCTATACGGGTGTTTTTTATGAAAAAGGAATTAACGTTAAAGAAGATAAATATAATGCGTATATTAAATACAAAAAATCCGCCGAGATGGGTCACTGTGATGGAATGTATAATCTTGGTCGTTGTTATGAAGAAGGAATCGGAGTTGAAAAGGATGAACATAATGCGTATCTTTATTACAAAATATCTGCAGAGATGGGTCACTTTGATGGAATATTTAACCTTGGTCGTTGTTATGGAGAAGGAATCGGGGTTGGAAAGGATGAATATAATGCGTATGTTAATTACAAAATGTCCGCAGATATGGGTCATTTTGATGGAATATATAACCTTGGTCGTTGTTACGAAGAAGGAATCGGAGTTAAAAAGAATGGACCTAACGCATATATTTATTACAAAAAATCTGCAGAGATGGGACACTCTGATGGAATATATCACCTTGGTCGTTGTTACGAAGGAGGAATTGGGGTTAAGGAAGATAAATATAACGCATATATTAATTACAGTAAATCCGCTGGGATGGGAAACATGGAGGCACTTGATAAAATGGGAACCCCTGATGGAATATTCTACACGGGTGTTTTTTACGAAAATGGAGTTAACGTCGAAGAAGATAAATATAATGCGTATGTTAATTACAGTAAATCCGCTAAGATGGGACACATGGAGGCACTTGCTAAAATGGAAACCCCTGATGGAATATTTTATACGGGTGTTTTTTATGAAAAGGGAATTAACGTTAAGAAAGATAAATATAATGCGTTTGTTAATTACTGTAAATCCGCTAATATGGGACACCCGGAGGCACTTGCTAAAATGAAAACTCCCGATGGAATATTTCATATGGGTGTTTTTTATGAAAAAGGAATTAACGTTAAAGAAGATAAATATAATGCGTATATTAATTACGAAAAATCCGCAGAGATGGGTCACCCTGATGGAATATATCAACTTGGTCGTTGCCACGAAGAAGGAATCGGAGTTGAAAAGGATGAATATAATGCGTATATTTATTACCAAAAATCCGCACTGATGGGTTATTCTGATGGAATATATAGCCTTGGTCGTTGTTTCGAAGGGGGATTTGGGGTTAATAAAGATAAATATAACGCATATATTAATTACAGTCTATCAGCTAAGATGGGTCACATGGAGGCATCTGCTAAAATGGAATCCCCTGATGGAATATTCTATACGGGCGTTTTTTATGAAAACGGAATTAATATTAAGGAAGATAAATATAATGCATATGTTTATTACAAAAAATCCGCAGAGATGGATCACTCTGATGGAATATATAATCTTGGTCGCTGTTATGAAGAAGGAATTGGGATTAAAAAGGATGAAAATAATGCGTTTATTTATTATAAAAAATCTGCAGAGATGGGACACCCTGATGGAATGTATAGTCTTGGTTGCTGTTATGAAGAAGGAATTGGAGTTAAGAATGATGAATATAATGCGTTTATTTGTTACAAAAAATCCGCAGAAATGGATCACCCTGATGGAACATATAACGTTGGTCGTTGTTACGAAGAAGGAATCGGGGTTAAAAAGGATGAACATAATGCGTTTATTTATTATGAAATGTCTGCCAAAATGGAACATGATGGCGGAATATTTCATGTTGGAATTTGCTATCAAGATGGAAGTGGGGTTAATAAAAATATTAGTAAGGCGTTCAGTCATTATAAAAAAGCGGCAGAGAAAGGAAATATTGATGCCAT